GGTGCCGAGCAAGGACAGCTGTTCAATAGAAGAACACGATGCCAAGTTTGAAGTGCGATGGTGGGAATCTTATGGTTTAGGGTTAACCAGTAGCCTTGAAGACTGACCTTGCAGTCATTAACTGAACTACAATTTCTGCATCATGTCAATGCCTGCTTTAGCTGTTGGCTGAAAATGAACAAGAAATAAAAATTTCAACAGTGCAACAATTAACAAAAAGCAAAAACAAATGGAGCACGGCAGTAATTATGTTCATAATTTCAGGTTTTAGCCTGTACAGTTATATTTTCGTCTATTACCTGCATAATTCCCAGTAACATACATGTACTTTTTTCCACCTCACACTGGCATTTGACGATCATTGCAGCATTTGTAATTGTGTGACTTTACACCTTGAGTCAGTTTATATTATTCTGTCTAACCCCCTGTAGTAGACAGGGGTTAAAACTGAATGCCCTCTGTAGATTTCCCCCCGGTAGTTTTCCACCAACACACTCAAAAGCAGCTGTGGTACTTTTCCTGCAGGACATGGTTAAGCCCTCAAATAATCCAACAGAAGATCAATAATAGCTTAATAATTTCTTATCAAAGCAAAGTCCAGGGATGAAAGTGCATTTACAAAATCAGGAGCATAATAATGTGAGCTCTTTGGCTTATCGGCTACATTTATACATGGCAAGTTCTGCCTGAACAATCGAAAATTAAACACATTCTGATTGTCCATCTCAGTGCAAGACATGCAAGACATTCTTCATTAACTTCACACTGAGCTAGTGAGTTGGGGACATTTCCATTATTGTGTGGTGCATCTGATTGGTAGACTGTTGCTGTTGTGACAGGGATGTCATGTGTGAATGCATCTTATTCCTAACTCTGCAGGAGCTACATCCTCTGCTGTGAAGGGTTTTGGGCGGAGGATGTGTGGATGGGCAGCCCTTGTCAGACTCAGCCTGAGGCTGAGGAGGATTGGGGCGGAGGTTTTAATGCAATCTGCTCACCACCTGCTCAGTGGAGGGAAAGGGAGGGGGCTTTATTCTTTTCACAACTTGCTCTTTATCACATCAGACACACAAACACAGATCACTGAGGTGTGTCTGCTCAGAGTTCACAGTTAACGCACCGTCCCCTCCCCACCCAGCCTCCTTCCGAAGGCTGAATGAGCCTTTGCATGACTGGAGCGATGACTGCACACACAGGCTATCCTCAACAAACCTAACACCTGCTTCCTGTCTGGCTGCACATGCTCAGAAGGCCCCGAGAGATTGTGGTTGTGTGTCTGCCTTGCTGTTGCTGTGTGGACTGGGCCAGTCCTTATTAGGACCAATGTAGCATCTGTGATTCTTGGCTCTAAGATATGAATGCTTGATTACACTGTACCTGACCTATTCAGTAACCACAGAACCTCTCTGAGCTGCATTTTCTCTGCACACCACGCAGGATGTGGAAGATTCCACCCACAGCTTCTTACACTGCAAATTCTCCTGTAGATGATCCTAAAACTGGGCCTGTGAGAAAACCTGAGCCCCAATCAATATAAACCTCACCTCCACGTCAACCATAAAATCCTGTCTGTTGGAAAATATTATTCTGGACAAACGTCTCTGTCACTATCTAAACCATATTTACATAAAAAAGTAGCATTTAATTACTTGGCACACAAAAAATTGCCAGGCAAACAATCAGCAATGGTTTAATGAAAGAGAGACTTACGGAAACAGATATAATTATCAGCATTACACACTATATAACCTATACATGTACAGTCTATTTATTTTAAACACCACAGCTGCTTGAAAATAAAGCTGAGTGCAATATATGCACATATTACTGTGGAAAACATTAATAAAGAACTTTAATGGACTTTAATTTGTTGCAGATATCCAGATCATTTTAATAAACATACCTGCGGAGAATAACATATTGTACTGTGTGACCAGCAGTTCATAACAAAAAAGGAAAATATTCACATTTAAAAACACTGCAATGAATATATAGCATAGTTGCTTCGAAATATTTGATTAATACGTACAGATTCATCTGATAACTAGAAATTGAAAATTACAGCATCTGATGCTGTTTCTTGCTGCTGTGACCTCTCTGAATGTCTAAGGAGGTTTATCTGATATGAATGCTAGCCCACAAAAGGCACTGTCAGTATGAAGTATCAAAAGACAGTCTGACATTTATGTATGACTGTGAATATCTGATACTCCTCCTTGTATGGTAAGTTTATGGCGGGGTGCTTCTTTGTGAAAGTCTGTGCACAATACATCAGTGACAGCGCTGCATGCATCAGCATCACTGTGATAGACCTCGGAGGAACAGCAGTAAAAATTCACAGCTTGAATCTCAAATAGCAGGGCGCCTACTTTCTACTAAAGACTTCAAAAGAACAAAGCCCGAGCCAACAAATGCTGTGGTTAGATGACAGGTGGAATACAAATGGAGTTTTCGCAGCTAACTGTGGTATCATCAGCCTTTGCTTTGTTCTGATATTCTGTTTGTGTTCAACGGTCTGTTAAAAGGACAGCAAAGGTTTTCTGACATTCTTATTTCCATCTGGCAGTCTGGGATGTGGGGTGGTGGGGCTGAGGAGATGACCTGCAGAAAAACATCAAATATGTGGTGCAGTCACACTCTTTCTGCACTGCATTTCTCACTGTGAGAACCTGCATGACTACCACCATCATCAGCATTACTACCAGAACAGAAAGAGGGATGGTTCACTGGATGACCCGTGTTTTGTGCTACACAGTAGCAATCTGTCTGCAACATGAGCCATTTCTCTCTGATCCCTGACTCAAATATGCATGTAACTCCCATTCATCACTGTATTAAAGGTGGCACGTCAGCACAGTCATCTCTTTTTATTATGGCCTGACATACATAAGGATCTACTTTGTTTTTGTTGTTTGTTTGTTTTTTAACCATGGCTTTATATTAACTGGTTAAATAATAGATATTCAATTCAATTCAACTTTATTTATAAAGCACCAAATCATAACATAACAACTGCCTCAAGGCACTTTATATTGTAAGGTAAAGACCCTACAATAACATCACAATAATGTGATAGGATACAGTTAATCCTGTCGGTGCCATGAGATGTGAACTACATTAGCCAGGTCTTTCAAAACACAGTGTTTGGTTTTGGTGTAGCAGACCAAGAGGTATCACATAATTTGTCTTCTATTTACTCCACCTGATTTTGGTACATTTAACATTTGCAATATTTAAAACTTGTGCAAATTATTGCATGCATGGTATTAATCTTCACAGATTATGCTATGCTTTTCATTTCTGTCTAATCTCAAAACTGCAAAGAATCTCATCTCATCTACTTGCTCAGCTGGAGCTGTCCTCCTGCTCGTGGTGCTGAAACAAACACAAAGAAACAGCCAAACACAAAGTATGCGGAGAAAATGAACACGAGGCTTAACGTGGTTTAAGACTTGCTCTAACATACGTCTCAATATTGTCCATCCCTTTTGCACCTGCTCAGTGCTACACAAGTGCACCATATCCGTATCACTACTAAAAGCCCTTGTTCAATCTCAGCTTAGAGCCTTTTGAAATATTAATGCCTGTGTGACACTTACTGTGCACTCGTATGGATCAAATTTTAAAGGAACAGGATAAAACCCTGCAACTAATTTACATGAAATATATACATATTTTATACTGAAGCAATTGATCAGCTGCAAATTTAGTCAATGTTCTTGTCATCTAGGTATGAATTCGATCACACAAATACCTACTATCTGTTTGTCTAAAACACTGAGGTAAAAACATATAGTTTCTCCCCTTCATTTAAAGCATCTGCAGTGATTCTGAAGTCCTTGATTTTCAAAAACGACCTTTTCACACCCGCAAGGCTTTGTTTACTCCAACCTGTGACACTAATTCTGACCCTTCTTGATATTTCTGAGATCTCTCTGAAAGCGCAATACCTCTATTTATAGAACACGCATAATTGGGAGCCTGGAAACAGGATAGGCCTCTTCTCTAATTAAGGAATAAACAACACTAATTGCCATCATTACTATCATTCATCTGGTGTTATCAAACGTGATGAGATGTGCATATATTGAGTCCTGTAAGATTACGCTCTACATCTTGGCTAAAATCTGAATATCACCATTCTAAATGTATTTTCCTCCCAGGCTCTCAGTAGGGTTTGCCATATTGTATTCCACTAAAATGTCAAAAGTCCATAGCAAATCTGGCATTTTTAAGGCCACCTGCTTTCAGCACAGTCGGGTGGAAATGTTACCAGATGTCAGTTTAGTACTCTGCCCAATTTCCGAAAACAGAAAAAACACAGTGAGAAAAGGCTAGCTTTACTTATTGTAAAAGCTCAATGTACCTCAAGAATCACATTTATTTTACAGGGTAACCCTTGTGTTAAAACCCACATCACATGTAGCAGGATAAGCATCGAATCAACAAGTCACAAGAAGTTGACCGGTATCATTTTTTTCTGTGCGAATCCAACAGAGTCCAGATTGAACAGCATCAGGCTACACAGACAGAGGGTGGCAGCATGAATGGAAGTCTGAGGGGCTCCTTATTTTATTAAAAACGGGCTCCCCAAGTTACACATAACGATGCTCACTCAAGGTTTGCCACGCAGCTAAGTCCACGAGGAACAATCGGGAACAATAGGTGTGACAGAGAGGAGAAATGATGCACCTGGTTTGGGTGTAGTAGTCTGACACGTTGCCAGAGACAGGCTCGTCCTCACCAACACCACCACCACCACCACCACCACACCGTGAACTTTAAGATATTTATAAATAAAGGAAAAGGTATTGCTCTCCGTAATCAGACATTTTTATCGACTCTCGGTTCCCCCGCTTACTGCAGCACTCACAGCAGCCTGCACACCCACCTTCCTTCAGCTCCGTAACTTGATGAAAACGATTGCGCCACTAATAGCGCAGTAAAGCCTTCCGGTTTGCATTTCTATCACTACAGGCACGCACGGCTTTAATATTTACCTCACTCACCTTATAAAACTCCCTTATCGCTGAGGTCCGGCGGTGATAGAGATGCTGCTGATCTTTCTTTAACGCCAAGAAACAAGAGAAACTCCCACCTTCGCAGGGGCCGTCTAACAATTAAACACCTGCTTTGGAGGCGTTAAGGGACCATCAAGCAATGGTGATGCTAACAAAATTTCATTCGTTTTATTCGAAGTTACATAAAAATATATTTGACCAGACATCCACCTTAAAGTTAGCTAGGTCGATTTAAGTGGTTAAATGAATTATATATATTTTTAATGTTAACTTTGAACACCAAATGCACAGTAATCTGAAACTGAATTTTACGTACTCCAGTTTACATCCCACAAATACAAAGGCTTATTCCATTTAAGACAGAAAAATATGTATATTTTACTTAAAAAATACATGTTTTTAAATATATTAAGGAAAAATATTTGAAAACAATTAAGCATTATTAAATTAAAGCTACTTTGTTTTTTTTTAAATATACATTTATCATTATTTCTATATTTTGCATTCTTTATAAAAAAAATCTACAAAAACTTTAGAATATATCACAAGTGTAGATACAAAACAACAACTTTTATATACAGCATTGTTTTGTGGGTACAACTACTCAGTCACTACTCATCTGTCAGTGGGTTGTTGCTCTTACCACACACCATTTAGTCAAAGTCAAAGTCAACTTTATTTGTCAATTCTGCCACACGTACAGGACATTTAGTAAACCGTTTAAATAGTTTTATTGTTCTTGATGATGATGATATTTTTGAAGATATTTTAATATGTTTTATATTATATTATATTATATTATATGTTGCATGTTGCGTATTATGTTTAGTTTAATTTCTGATCACAGGATTCCAGGATATTTCACTGTTGGCTTTGCCTCTTGTTCACAATAAAATTGGAAAAAAATATTTGTAAATACTTTGCTTCCTATGAAGGAATGAGGTACAAAAGATTTTAAAGCTACAATCTAATATTTCACAGGAAAATTTTAAAAAGGTTATATTTATTTACCTGTGCTCCCTATTGCACATGCTTTTATTACTTTATGAACACATATAATATCTCCTGCTTATAATGTTGTATATGTTTTTACAGACAGGTGTCTTTTGAAAAAGAAATCTCAATATCAGTGAGACAGGATTTAATATTAACAATAATCTTATGTTACCTTAAAGGAGAGGTCTCTAGACTAAAGTAATGAAGTGAAAGCTCTTTAGAGACATTACTCTAAGGATACTGAGGATCTATCTCAGACTTAACCTGGTAACAGATATGATGCAAAATGTATTAGTGCTCAAGTTAATTGTACTTTAAATAAAGACAAAATAATAAAAAGAATATTTATTTGTAACAGGGAGAGGCCAATACCTGACTGATAGTGGTCCATTGGGTGATGGGTAAACATGTAGACTTGCCAATGGAGTTATAATTTCCTGTTATATTGTGAGATGTTGAAAATTGATGCCTTTATGACTCCTGCACAACAAGATGTATTTTAGTATGGAGTGTTTGTGAGAGTCATGTCATGTTAACAAAAGAAATCAAATGCATTGAGCTGCCTTACATCCTGTGAGTAAAGCTTATTTTATTGAAATTGCTAAAATTAGCTTATGGACCTCTACGCTAACAGCATGGGACGTCAGATAACTGAGGATACATTGCCACCTACTGAATTCTTTCTTTCCTGCATTGACCCTAAACACTGCAGACTGTTCACATGCTGTAATAATAATAGTTGTTCACATGGAAAGAAAGTGAAGGATTAATCTTATAAAAATGTACTATTATATAACTATATACTTATTGAATGGATGTATATGGAATTAAATATGGGGAATTAACCATGTGAAAATAATAATACTTGTTTTGCTTTGTTGAAATTTCTTTTTTGTCTTGTTAACAGGGACACGTGAAGAAAAAGAGGAACACAGACGCATCCGGACCAGCAGGCGGCGGTAGACAAAGGAGTTAATGTGGTGATGTAAAAACGACGTCAGTGCCTCTCAAAGAAACCTTCTTGTGTGCGTTTGAAGAAGCTCCTGAGCTCCGAGGCTCCGTAGTGCTGAAAGGACAGCTCCTCCGCTCTCTGACATCTGCAGGTAGGCAGATGAAGATGAAATTATGGGGAAATAACATTACTGGCGCAATCATTAACATACTGGAAACGATATAATGTAATTCTGAAAGAAAACAGAACACGAAGGAGATGGATAACTACGGTTATATTATAAATGCTTTCTGTTTTCTGTAGCATCCACAGTGTCGATGCCCTCTAATGAGGGACGTAAAGACCAACTTTTAAATTTGGTCTGCGAGACCGCCCTCTTTCCTTTTCGTCGTTTGCTATCTTTTGATTTGCACATCCTTCAGTGCTGCAGGTTATGCGATGACAGAGGGAGGGATAAGACATTACTGCTATTCTCAGTGCCCCCTGGGAGTCCCCCACCCCCACTTTGCTCAGAAATTAGTTTTTAACTCTAAGCGGCAGGCTTACATTCTCTCTTCTGTTCACATTTCTGCACTGTGCTCTTTGTAAATGGTTTAAATTCAGTGTGATTTATTTCAGGGTTTCATATTGTCAGGTAAAGAGCATTCAGTAGTAGACATAGAACTAAACAGTTATCCCCTGTGAACAACCACTTGGACACAATAGAAAGGAAGAACTACCTGATCTCTCCTCAGACCAAACTGTGTCCTTGGAAGGGTCATTCCCTCCAATTTACTATTATTTAATTCAAGTATCTTAACGTAATAATCTCCCTACAACTAAATGACTTTACTGCTGGATTAAGACTATTGATGCCCCTTAAATTGCAAACAGCACTGCCAATTCTTTAAGTACTTAGCAATCCTCATAAGCTGAGAATTTGTTTTGTCTATTTGCTAAAACTGTACTATAGTATCTTCTGTTTTGGCTGCACGTTTGTGTTTGCATCTAACATGAAATTGGTAAAAAGTGTTGAGAGTGATTCATCATGAATACCTGTGTTTGCATACAGAGACCTATTTTCAGCAAATGCGTGTTTGATGGCACCTCGTGTTTCCTAATGCAAGTTTGTTATATTAAAAGCCTGATTAGTCATTAGAAAAACCATTTTTCAATTATGTCAGCACAACTGAAAATAGTGTGCTGATTGGAGAAGCAATAAGTGCGGCTAAATAAGTGCCTGGATTGGCTGTCTCAGTCTGATTATAGTCTCTAAATTTAAAAAAAGGACTGGAAAATCATCACTTTGTCCTTGCTTTAAGGAATAAAAGTTAATCCATGCAGTAAATTTAAAAAAAAACAAAACAAAAGAGAGAGAGAGAGAGCAAGAACAGATTTTATAAAACAGGAAGTCCTGCTCCCTCCACAAAACTGTGCAAACATCAGGGCCTTTACCTAAAAAAGGATAAACACCCATGCAAGCCAACATGGGGTGGTTTGTAAAGGGAGTATGATGCCCATGATGAGTGAATCTAAACCTCTGACCACAACTGTGTTCAGCTCTCTATGCATGCTCAGTTAGACTTTTAGCACAATAAACTTGAACTAAGTAACATAATGTGCACAGAAAGAGCGGTGGTTGATGTAAACAGGCCAGTTTATTCAATTTATTATCATGTTTCATTTAAAATGATAAATCATTTATGATTCCACAGACCATTAGTTGTGATTTAGACCATTTTGGGTCATTGTTCTTGTTATATTAGATACAAACAAATGTGCTTTGCTTTCAGAAGAAAGAACATTTCAAACTGACCAGAAACTTCTGCGCAGTTACGTTTACAGTTACTTGCACTGCTAACTGTGTTCTTTGCTCCCACACAGATATGTTCACCCGGATGTTAAAACTGAGACTTCTCAACGCTGTAGCACCTGCGTACTTTTTTACGGCTACAGCAGTTACCTTCATTTTTCACTTTGGCTTCTTCATTCCAACAATTTTCCCAAGTCAGGGTACATCACTGGACGGGTCCAAAGTCTTACATACAGTTATGTTCCTTTTCTTGATGTTCAATGCGTTAGGGAACTACATAATGACTATTAAATACCCAGCTGAGAGTGCCAACGAGACTGTGATTCCAGTGTGTTCACCTCACTGCTCAGATAAAGTGGACGCGCACTACCTCCTAAACGGCCGTCACTTCTGCAAACTTTGCAAGAAGGTTATCCTTAAGAGGGACCACCACTGTTTCTTCACTGGAAACTGCATCGGCAACAAAAACATGCGCTACTTCATCATGTTCTGCATCTACACATCCTGCACATGTTTATACTCTTTGGTTCTTGGCGTGGCCTTTCTAACAGTGGAGTACTCTATCTCTTTTGAGAACCCCCTGACCTTTTTGACTCTTCTCCCGTTCTCCACTGGTTACTTCTTCATGGGTGAGTTTTCCATTAGAGCTGATATCGCAGAGGGGACACCAATTAACAACTCAATATTTTTATTGTTGGAGTCTGCTAGAGTTTGCATGATTCCCAAACTGGATCTTGGCGCAGCCTCTCAGTTCATGCATGTTCAGCTAACTTTGTCCTGATTAGATGCCCTTTGCAAACAGAAGGTTAAAACAGCACGGCGGCAGGGCTTTTGCAAAGCTAGGCCACACTAATGATATTTGCTTTCACTGAGATCAAAATGGTCTTAAACTAAGCATTTAGGTCAGTCTGCCTGAGCTTCAGGCTAACAGGTATTACTTGTATATACACTGACCTCATTTAATACTCTTTTCTTTACTACAACCATCCACCATTCTAACAATAATATATGCGACAGTAATTTCTCCTCCTCAATATCTCCTCACAGGAACAATCTCAGGCCTGCAGTTGTTCCTGGTGCTGATGCTGTACGTGTGGCTGGGCATCGGTTTGGTGTGTGCAGGTTTCTGTTGTCAGCAGGTGCTGCTGGTGGCCCGGGGGCAGACATGGTGTCAGATGCAGAGAGGGCAACTTGCAGAGAATTGCAACCCCTGGAGAGCTAACCTCAAGGACGTCTTTGGCACCCGCTGGATGCTTGGTCTTATACTGCCTGTGCAGACAGTAGAGACGTGCTCTGAAGACGCAGATGCCCATAAAGAGGACTGAAGAAAAACCTCATATCGTAACAATAGCTCCTCACAGGTCAAAAAAAGTGACACATGTTGTAGAAAAGGCTGTCTAAAGACCCATGTGGGGAACGATTTTGAACACAGAGAGGATGCTTTTTGACGTTTCAAATAGTCTGTGAAATAGCTGTTAGCACACATTCCTTTAAGGACAGGAGCCATACAAGCAATGTGAAATAAGCGTGTAGTCTAAGTGTATCCTTTAGGTAGCTTTTTAAAAAGGCAATATTAAGACAAATAAGTTGGTCATTTTTGGGAATCCAGCAGTTTTACTTACGCTACTATAAACGCTTGCATCAAAATATAAAGATGGCTTTGCATGCCTTCACAGCTTTGCAATTTTGTATTATTTGACAGCCTGTGCCATGCGGTGCTCTGAGATTATCAAAGTGCAATATTCTTCCACACATCCTATTAAGATGCTACAAAGCGACGTTCAGGAAACTCCGGGTAGTTTTCGTGACAATGACTCTCGTTTGTCGTTAAGGGCTATCAGACAAGGAAGCCGTTTGTCTGCAGCATAAACTGCCGGGCTTGACAATACTGTTGTGACAATTACATGTTTAGCCTGATGTACTCTACTCAAAGTAATGTGACTCAGGCAGTGTGAAGAGGGAATGCTCCTTTGGAAAATGGGTGGGGAAGATGATTAATATCCGATTATCCAGGGTTATTATTCACAATGTGCCATAAAGTCATTTCTTATTTGCTTATAGCTGACCCCAAAGATGAGGTATTCACTACACTGCTAATAATAAGGCGCTCTGCATAATAATATTATTATTAAGGACTTTTCACTGTTTTTCTGTGACTCCAGCTACAAATACACTGCTCATGTCGAACAGGTTTTGGGTTTCAATAAGTATACTTTCTAGAGATATTTTGTCTATTCCTGTTATACCAATAAAAGTATTCAAATCACAGCAAGTGATTAATTATTGTCTTTAATAATGACACACTGGTCTTCCAACAGTTTTACACAAAGCACACTTGACAATATCAGAAAGAAAAAAAAAGTATCCAAACTGTAATAATTTGCCACCCTCCTTTTGCCCTTTTAAAACCAAGGCTGCTTTTGATTCATTTTTAATATTCAGGTTAATTACTAATGTTGGGGTATGCAAATCGTGGTCCTGAAAACAAATCAAAGTGAACCTAGACTTAATATTTAACTTGTGCTTATGATTTCTATACTGTAACTTTGAATGCATTATCTAACCACACTGTGGGTGGTTATACAACTTCAAAGAAGAATAAATCTTTGGAAACCCTTAAGTATATTAAACTTTCTCCCAAATTAAGCTCAAAAAGAAATAAAGAAATCTTAGCTGCTCAAGCATCGACATAACATACAACATTAACTTACCGGTAAAAAAAAAAAAAAAAGAGGTGCAGGGCTTCTGATAAACATTTATATTCACATTATCTTATGCTTATGTTTAGAGGCAACTCAGAAATCTGAGAAATGAAACAAAACAAGCCCACTTCATTGTTTTAAAGTTTAAATTAATACTAAATAATAAGCAAAAATTAAAGCAGGAATGAACATGAGAGCAACAAATCCAAAGGCAACACAGTTATATAGCTACAGCACATCACCTGCTACAAGCTGTAGGTATGAAGTTTCTATTTAATAATAATAATAATAATAATAATAATAATAATAAAAAAGAAGCTTACTTTACCAGAACTGGCCAAATCCGTGCAATAATCTGTTTACAGTATTCACACAACTTTAGTCTTGGTCAGAAACATCATTACAAATAAATAATACTGACACCAAATAAACTTCCATTAAACAAAAAACAAACTGTTACGATTTAGCAAGCCATCTGAACTCTCTGTGAATCAGACACCGTTTGAAAAGACACTTCCTACAAAAGATGCATCAGCTCTATCAGTTTGATTTACCAGTTTAGAAATAAAGGATAAAGAAAAACAAAGATCACAGGAACCTGCTGACTAAAGATGAAAGATGGATTTGATCTAAGAAGTAAATAACCCTCGTACTTTCTCCACACTAGCAACATTCATGCCACGTATAAGGAGTAAACCCCATGTGTCTTTGTATGTGCTGTAAGGCATGCATTAATGCAATCAAGTAGGGATGCACCGATATATTGACCGAACATCATTACGAACTGAAATCAATCATGTGGATGACCACTGGCTTCTCAGCACGTAAGACAACACTTATCAAAGTGAGAGGCCAGCGTTTATCTACAGTGTGGCATCAATTTTGAGCTGCTTTTAATGAGAAAAGGTAGCGTGACAAAGTATGAAAGAATTTTAAACATTTGCAACTTTTCAACAAAACAAAGAGAAAAATAAAAACGTATCAGCCTGGGCTATCGGCTAAACACTGGTGTCAGTACTTCACAATCAGTGCATCCCTACACTTAGGAGTTTGACACAGAAGCCATAGCCCTATTGCAAGTGATACTTGCTATTTTGAAACAGAAGAGGCAAGAAAATTCATTATAGGCAAGGGTTCGAAATACAAGCATGCTTCCTAACTCCCATCTCATAAGAACGGCTGCTTCGACCTCAGCACGATCTGATGTCAGCGTTTTAGTGTCTGTGGACCGATCACATTGTTGCGTCACGACTGTGCAACTAAGAGAAAAAGAGCAAATGACTCTGCCCTTTTCTAACATGCAGTTAAAACTGCAACTGCAACCCCCCTTTTCCCCATAAATGTAGCTATGTAGTTTCATTGCTTAAGCTTAAACCAGCAGTGCAAATTTTTGCCTTCCTCTTCTGGGACTGAGAGCAAAAACACAAACGCTTGTTAACTCATTCACTGCCATTGACGTCTATAGCCGTCAATTGCAGTGAATGAGTCAATGGGTTTAACTCATTCACTGCCAATGGCTGGCAGTGAATGAGTTAAGCATGCCAATGATATCTTCTGCTCTACTAGCCCAGTCACTGTTGACACTGCTACGGGTAAGAAGTATAGGAAATGTCACCACAAGCAGCAAATATAATTACTGCTATCCTGTGAAGATGTTTGGCTGGGCAGATCAGCACTATATGACTGAATATAACCTATTCATCTACCCTGATATGTCATCTATACAGACTTTCTTGCTCTTTACGTCACATTTTCTGAATTCCCATTCTCCAACTCCGTAATGATATTTAGGTTGGAGACAGAAATCCCCTTTAGGGTTGCATCTGGAAGGGCATCTGGAATAATAACTCTGCCAAATCAAACATGTGGAACTACCCACTGTGGGGACCCTTGTGACAGTGGAGCAGCTGAAAATAGCTTTTGACTTCCCATATCACTTCTGCTGGTTTTTCCACAATCCTTTATCACGAAGTTGCAGAGCTACTGCATCCCAACAATGTGACCGGTCGTTTGAAGTGACGGTCCTGGAGTAATATCAATTCTGATGTCGTCAGAACAACAACATGCAATATGAGACAGACCTTTAGTTTTATATCCAACCAGCTGCTCCAAAACTGTCTAATTTCTTAACTTTGCTGCAGAAAGTGATTAATACCTACAGCCTACTGATAAAGGTCTGAAAGCTTAAAGTTTAGTTCAAGAGTATATTTAACACAATTTGTCCACATTTATTAAATCCCCCTGTGGCCTCCTGATTAATCCTCGTCTCCAGATTCAGGACTACTGATTATGTCCGTACATATTTTAAGCTAGGATGCTCTGCGGTTTCGCCCCCCACTGTTCCTTTTCTGTGTCCTGGAGAGAAAGCTGGAGTTTAGTCCAGAGTTGTGGGTTTCCACTGCTCAGAGCCTCCAGCAGCAGAGTCGTCTGCTCCTGAAGCTGCTGCAGCTGGTCTTGGGTGCGCTTATTCTCTTTGATCAGCTGCTTTGTGCGCATGGTGATCCCCAGCAAGCCGGACTTGTTGAGTATGTTGTAGGTATTGCTGAAGCGTTTCTCCTTATTAGTGCGCATTGAGTCCTCATCCTCGAATTCGTCATCAAGCATCCTGTTGTCTCCTGCTAGAGTCCTAAATTCATCTGTGTAGGAGGGCAGGGAGCTGGTTCCTACCTGTGAGGAAAAAGACTTGATAAGCTGCTCTTGACTCTGTGCTTGGTTTGTTGGTGCTTCAAAGTTGGATGTGGTTTGGGCTGTCATCTGCAGTGCTGACAGGGGGCTGGGGGTGCTGTACACCCTGTGGCCATGATGATGCCTCCTCTGTCGCTGGTTATATCCTGCTGCTGTACTCCCCCTCACCCTTGAGGATCCTAGCCTCTTAGTGGGTGTGTCCATGGGATGCGGGGCAATTTTGGGATATGATTTGAGGATGGGCATGTAGCTTTTTGACTGTCGCGTGTTTTCAGAGCCAGTCTTAGGAGAGCTGTTGTTGTCATTTGATAGCATGGGTTGAAGAAAAACCACTTGTGACTGAGGCATTATTTCCAATGGTGAAGGAAAGTTCCACTGTTTTTCTGCTGGAGCTGTGGATGATTGCTAGAAAATAAGAAAAAAAACAAACAAACAGACCTTTAATGTTATAAAACATTTCTTATACCATCTATAATATGGTAGCTGTTAAACATAAAGTGCATGACAGAGTTACAGGGTTATAGTCGATGATCTCAGGGATTGTCAAGCTTCCATTTATATTACATTTAATGTGTCTGGTTAGTTCTGCTGTTGGCATCTCTGCATTATAATAAGATACTTGAGAGGCCTCTCTGCCACTTTGAAATGGATGAATGACTTAAGTGTGTCTGTGTGTTAGGGGGAGGACCTGCTACACTGAACCATCATCATAATATCAAAGTGAGACAAAACAGAAGGTGTTTATATCTGTTGTTTTATTTAAACGAGAGCTCCATGTGAGTGCTTGCCGGGTTCGCTGTTTATCTCACGCTTTCAACTTTTGTGGGTGTATGTGTGTGTTTGTCGGTGAAAGAGGCCACTGTGTGTGGTGAGAGCTTTGTGTAGAGTGGTGAGAGATTTTACACAAGTAAACACAGACTGAACAACTTAGGAGGATTGTAGCCCCCCCCCCAAAAGTTTAAAAAAAAAAAAAAAAAAAGGAGAGGCAGCTATAGGTAATGATGTAATAATGTTTTCACTGTTCAGCTAATAACTGTTCTATTATAAACTCTAATTATGGAAGGCTGAATCATCATCAAACAGTAGCATTATTGCTTTTGGTGTGTTTGGGGTACAAAGTATGACTTACTGGGAGTGGATATTATTACCTCAGTGAGTGCACATTAACCCACCACCAATTCAGCAGCATTGATATCACTTTTGCTGATCTCAGAGGATAGCACAATTGAATTATAAAGAAAACTGCCCAGCCCCAGATTATACACAGTCTAAGGAAAGTGTTAAAACACAACATTACCCACAACATGCACAGACAGATCTGAATGCTCAATTTGAGTTAATAAACTCCATCCAAAATTAAGCTTTTAACTAATTTCTCTAAAAGTTCAGAGTACAAAACACTCTGAGCCAAACAATGCTCCATTGAGCACTAAAGCTCAAAGACAATATAGCAATAAAACACTCTAAGAGTAAAGAAATACACAGTAGTCTGTTCAGACAAATATTGAAATATTTTACCTGCTTTAACACGAAGTTGTTCATGATGATCATTGGAGACAGTCCAGTGTATGAACCTCCCATCACAGCCACCTGTGGACCAGTTGGCTCCTGGCTGACTATTGACCCATTTCTTGCTGCATCTTCAGAGTCAGTCACTTCGACTGTGCTGAGGTACTCCGAGCTAGCATCTGAGAGGACAACACGACACATATATGAGGCTCATCATGTTTAAAAGAAAGGCTTCTGCTCTGCGTGGAAAAACATTAGCTGTATGAAAACAGTGGCAGATGTAGATAAATATCTGTAGCGTGTCTGAAAAAGGATACTATCATCTTAATGTGAAGGGCTAAATCAAATTCAGGTCAACCCCCATACTGTAAATAACCTACATAGAAAATGTGACCTAGATCTCCACATTTGATTAGGGTCGACCTTGTTCATGAACTGATACATTATTTGTAATTATATAAAGGCTAATTATATCCCAGGTCAAGACACGTGTTCTTTCAGACAAAATCAAGAATATTTTGGACAATCACAAGACTTAAAAGGCATGCTAGTTTTTTTTTGAATGTAAGCAAATCAAACCTGAGAAGCCTGAATCTCTTTCCAGGTCTTGTTTGCATGTTCCAAGGTGCGATGTCCGGGTGAACGGCAGAGTCCTGTGACTGCCTGGTTGATTAAACCGGTTCATGATGGTCTATCCAGGAGAAAAACAAAAGAAAAAAACAAAAACACATGGACAGACGAAGTTAAATAACTGCAACTTAATTTCTCCAGGACAGTCTTATGCAAGTTTGTGATACAGTTTGATGACATTTTTTCTTTATTTTTAAATCCATTCTGTGACTTGGGAAGGAGAGAATATTAAATATCTATGAGTAGTAGGGCTGCCACAAACGATTATTTTGATAGTCGACTAGTCACCGATTATTTATGCGATTAGTCGACTAATCAGATCATCATCCACTGGACGTAAAACTACAGCTTATTGCACCAGCAGCATCTGCTCTTATATAACTATCATTACAGCTTTAAGCTTTTAAGGTGCTAACTAAAAATAAAGACAAGATGATAGTTTATTCAATTTTAATGAAATTTGCAGATTGTTTTGGTAAAGTTTAATAAACTCCTTGCTATCTAAAATATAACAGGACACCGGAGTATATTCTCCAGCATCTCACACTTCTGATAATCAGCTGTCTGCTTGACGTTTATTCAGCTGTGTAAAAACTATAACTTTAATCTCAGCCAAACCGATTTACTCAGGAACAAATAAAATACTAAAAAAAAAAAAAAGCCAAACAACAACATTTTTAAGTTATCTAAGTGAATCATATATATTTAACCTGAGTCACGAAAGACGGCGGTGGGTTTGAAAACAATTTGCTGGGAGTCCGGTGTTCTCACGGCGCTAGTGACCTAGCCCCCGGCTAGCTATCGAGCTAGTGGGTAATAGATGTCTCCGAAAACGTCGGAGCGCTTTTGAAAATATGTGGTGTCCTGATAAACTGAGCCGATATTTGAGGTTTACACAGCTACATTCTCGCCTGAAAATATGTTAAACGTTTATTTTGTGACCCAGAAAGAATAATAAGAGTAATATTAAAACTAACTAGCTGCCTCCATTGTTGGAAACTAAGCTGGGCCGCGCTATGAATTCTGGGACACAGCTGCTTCTTCTTCTTCGGGGTTTAACGGCAGCTGGCATCCTTGTACATGCAGTGCTGCCATCTTCTGTTTCAGTCCGTTATTACACTCTTAAATCCTGCTATTATTCCTGCGTCTTTTGCGATCTTACAAAGCTTCAAACGACGCGTCGACTATTAAAGCAGTCGTCGACGATTTTGATAGTCGACGTAATCGTGACTAGTCGACAAATCGTGGCAGCCCGAATGAGTAGCATGTCCATTTTAAAACAGTAATATTCCATTTCTTTGGATTTTTTTCATGACAGGTGACACATTATCCTATTTGGCTATGGAAGACATTGAGACTTTTTAAAGATCTTTGGCTACAGACAGATGGGTCACAATGATTGTTTTTGCTAATAATTTACACATTTTAAAAACCTTTATAAACTACAATATTTAGGCCTTAGCAAACCTACCTGTTTCACATGTCATATCTTACGTGACAATCTAGTTATATAAAATATAAATTAGGAACAAATAAATAAACAGCAGCCAATTATAATTGTAACAATCACAAGATAAAGGTGGCCACTCAGACACAGCAGGGCCAAGGCTTCAGGTTGTTCCCTTAATTTGTCCTTGCCTATAATTTTTTCATAGTAACTCATTACTATATACGATTTATAGTGTATAATGACTAAAAGCACAACAGTCACAGTATAAACACTCACCTCTAGTTAATACGTAATCTGTCTTTTTGGAGCTTCTACTTTGAATTGTTTACAAGACTGATCATCACTTCACGTTTCAGGCCTGTACTTTGCATTCATACTGTACATGACTGTATTTATTTTTCAACATACTGAAAAGAGCAGGCGCACACCCACAAACGGGATTACGTAATGTTTTAAGCTGCATAATAAACAGATTAAAACATCATAAAAGCGTATTATTATCTGCCTTACGTCTCCCATTTTACAAACTCGAGCTGAACGATTGGATGAAGGGCCTGTGACCCTCCCACAACCACTCACTGCGATGGCTAGTCATGGCAAGACACACTTTAAAAAAACAAAACAATGTCGTACTTACCCAGCAAAAACAACAAAAAAAGAAGTTAGTGCAGACAATCATTGTTATAAAGCTGGGATGCTGACCAGTCCAGCGTTTATAACTTCTTAACTAGCTACAGCTAGCATTGTTTTGCTATACACGCAACTTTGTCAACATTGGCCGTTAACGTCAAACAACGTACGCGACACAAACACACACACACACACAGCTTTAGGGTTACACAAATGTGCTTCTGCAATAACAAAATATGGAAAGCAACATTAGCTGCTGTCTGTATCATCGACAGTATGTTTTATCTGTTTACTATTCATTTAGCTGGGTAACGCTAGCTGCTAGCTACCGTAGCTTTAGATCAGAACTCTTGCTATCACGAGATCGATAAGCAATATGAGTACCAGCATAATTTCGACAAACCTTACCAAGACGTCGTTTGCTTCAAAGCGAAAATCCGACTTTAGTAGCTTGAAAATATGTGGCTAGTTAAAGCCACCCAACTCCCGTGTTGCTAACGCCAGCTCTACTTAAGTGCTCTACAAAATAAACGCCCTCCACGCGGTCTTACAGGTAAACACAATTACGTGCGCGCATTCACGCAGATATGGTTTTAAACAAATCGGTGACAGAAAAACATTTTCATTTAAGTATTCATGCTGTGAATTAGTTTGTTATGGAATACATTTCTGAAAGTATTAAATAATAATCTTTTTTTTTTTTTTTATCTTTTTTTTAACAAAAAAGCACAAAACACATCTGCAACTTTATTGTCTGTTACGGCAACCTCCTGGATAAGTTTCTAAAAGTAAGTAAGAGTTTTCAGATGATGGGGTTATAAGTCCAGTTTTTAGTGGTTGTAATTTAGGTGGTTTTAAGAAGTGTACTTTTAAGAGCTGTGACGGGAACAACAACTCCCTGTGAGACACTATTAAGGGCTTTAATAACCTGATACATAAAGGTTGCTACGGAAACGGGTGAAGTACATGTTTTATTCTTGGGGTTGGCGAAAGAGGAGCTTGTTTTGAGACTCATGCTCTGATGGGGTTACGCACACGACTAGTTGTTTAGGCTGAAAAACGTCTTTTTAAAAAAATCTACCGTGTTTGATATTTTAGCCTACAAATGTAAACGGCCTATCATATAGTTTGCTATTATTTGTGATAATGTGAAACAGATTAAGACTGCCAGCAGTTGGTACATCTATTAGGATTGCCTACTGGTATATAATTATTGAATGCAACTGGAATTACTAAACAATTACACAAGACAAGCTGACAATCATAACAGTTTTATTACAAAATAAATATTTAAATGAAATAAAACACTACGTCAGTCAAAATGCTATTTTTACATTTTCATAGATTTTCTTTATGTGATACATGAAACAAACAAACAAACAAACAAACAAACAAACAAACGCCATTTAACATATCTACGAAACTTCATCCCTTCCATGTTGCAGTGTTTCTAGAAACAGAGGATGACACCTGTGGTGTGGGATTATGGGATTGTTGAGTCACCAGTTGGACACAAGGTTGTGCTGTTCAGCTGCACACAGCATATGGGATGAACATTTGAGACCGTAACTAATGCTTTTACATGTGGGAGCTCAAGCTTGGAATCTAATAAAAAAAAGATTTTGAGGGCTTACATGATGTTTTAAAAAGCAAAAATAATTTGTATTCAAGCTTTCCCCTGTTGCTGCAGCACTCCATACAGTGCAATTACTTTTAACCTGTCATAGCACTGTTTTTAAATTTCAACTTTAAGAATTTTTATTCCGTAGACACGCCGGTGAGCTGTCTGGAGTGTACCCTCTTTCCTGTCCAAGGTCAGGGACAGGCAGGCTCGAGCCTCCTCCACAACCATTACTTTGACAAGTAGATAAGACAATGTATACTGGATATATCCCACTGGAATACTTAAATCTGAATTCACATTTCACTTATTTGCTTACACCACAGTAAGAAACATACCACACCAAATATTCCACGGCATTCAAAGGAAGCCTTGTGGGTATTAGTTGTATGGTCCTTGATATGTTTCAAGTACAGGCACAGGCAGAGTGAAGTAGTGTATCATTGAACGTGCACCGTATGTTATGTCCTTGTGACTGACACTCGAGAAAAAATGAGTGGTTTGCCAAAAACTGGGTCCAAGCCTCTGATGTGCACTGCTCCTCTGTACAGTATTTAATTCAATCTGCATACCTCAAATACCCTCCTGAAGGCTCATGTATTGTCATAGAACTGCAATCTGTCTACTGTGAGCGACTAAACAAGCAACGAACGCATGGGTATTTGGTCCTGAGTTGGAAATGCATGATGGGCGAGCTGAAATATCCGAGGATGTTTTGATCAAAATTATAAATGAAAAAATTGAAACGAGGAATTTCTACTCTTGCAAAAACATGTGTGCTACTCAAACATAAGTGTATTCATTATTTTAACACGAATGTGCCGGTTGCCGTTGATCTCACCACACCCACTGTGCATCCATATGTTCATTTCAGATGAATGGGCCAGATAATCAAGATTAGCCTCTTGTTAGGAGAACATCTGTATGCTGGATTCCATAAATATGGAAAGTTTGAAGTTTTGGGAAAATCTTCGCTTTATGAACATTTCTGCTAAATGTTGTTTTCCCATTCAGGTCACATGATGCTGTTAAAGAGTTTGATTTATACACAACAAGCAATTACGCAACAATGGCTTTTGGAACAGATCTCAGATATGATGATGATCTGATTGCAAAATACTTTAATATAGAGGTTTAAAAACACTTTCCATAAACACTAGAGGGAGACATTTCCTTATCGCATGTACAAAGAAGTTGCACATCAAGTCCACAAGGTGTTCTCTGGTCCAACTATATTAATAAATATAGACTTTTCTTCTTTTTTACATGTGTAACCTTCTTTTAAATACCAAAGGATTTGACAAATAATAACCGATACAGTAATACCTAGCATAAAAAGAAGACATCAGTCTGTTTGTTTCTACATTGCACTGGCTCCCAGGGATGTCCATTGTTTCAGGCTTGTAACAGCAGTGTTTCCACCAGTCAAAACGCACTTCCTGTTAAACCTTGTCGTTACAAAAACACCCTGCCCATCAGCATAAGGGCATGTCAGCAAATCAACCCAGCTGTTTGAGTCTCTTGCTGCAGACACAGTATTGATAGATGAGTGAAGGAGACTTTTGATGCTCCCACTGGGCTGGAAACAAATAGTGAGCCACACTGCAACAGGGGGTTGGGTCGCCACTGCAGTTACCTGCGAGGAATCTGGCACCTGTAGAACACAAGTGATAACGTAGCCTCTGTTAAAAGCTGTAATAAGATAAAATGGTGGATATGTGAACGTTTTCTCCCCCCCGTGTGCCCCTCACCTGTCACATTCCTTCTTTTTTTGTCTCTCCTTCCTCTTCCTTCCTCTTCGCCTTTTCCTGAACCAAGAACCAAATTATAAAAAAAGCTTGCGTTTTTTGACAAATAGCAAAATTGATATTGTAAGAATATTCCCTTACTTTGGAACCTTCACAACAGGTTTCCTGATTCTGAGGGCAAAGGTTTCGATAAATTAACATGAATGTCCAGGTACAACATTTGAAAGTCTGTGAGAGTCACCCAGTCTTCTAGAAGTTACGTTTATGCTGCCTGCTATTAATGACCAAACTCGATTAGCAGATAGTGTGTCGACGGTGCAGGAATCTTTAGGAAAACAACTTTATTTTCTGTTAGGTATTCAATTCAAGTTTTTGGAGATGAATCTATGAGAAACATAAACATGACTTCCAGGAGACGGGGTTTATATTTTTCATACTTATCAATAACTTATGTCACAACACCCTTCTTTTTTTCTTACCTACATTCACATGTTTGATGCTCCACAAACGTCATCTCAACATATTCTTGACCTTGTTCTGATGGCCGGATTTTCAAAAGCTGGGAATGGAGGAGGGGTGGAGGTGAAACGGAGATTTGTCAAAACGATCTCATGAAGCGCTCACAGCTACGAGTTATAACTCACACTTATGTTGCACAACCCTTAGGTCTTACCTGCATGGTAACGTTTGTGGTTTGAGTGGGATGACACTCCAGGTTCTCATCTCCGCAACAGCCAGCGCACCTCACCAGGGGAACGCAGGAGGGGCTGTAGATGTGCTCCACCTCCGATGGGTATTCCTGCACCACCTCCACCAGCTTCTCAATGGTGCGGCAAAAGCTGCGACCCCAAACTTTTTCAAACACAAGCACTGTGAATAAGAGTAGGCAAAGTATAAAGCAGTGCCATCTTTTTTCTGGGACTTCTCTGCATTTTTATTTGGTTAGCGATCAGTTTTTCGTCTTACTGTGACAATATCGATCGTATTTGACAGCTAAAAAAGCTAAACTTAAAGATGATACAGTTCTACACAAACAGTACTGGTAATTAGCTCAGTAATCCAGCAATGATATGCTTGCATGCCCTGTACACAGAAACCTATACACCGGTATGTATCCTGTTTTCATTTTCAGGGGGAAAGAAACATTTGTTTAATGTACAGTGTGCTTTCCTGTGGGAGTACATGTGTGAAAGTGTCCTAGTTGCTTTGGGGAGACTGTAGAGGAAGAACAGGGACAACTATGGCCAAACAGAGAAGTAAGAGAAAACAAACACTGGGAACATGGCCATGAACAGAACCCTGCTGGATCTGGAACTGGAGTTGCCCCGCAGGCACCTCTGGGACTGTGGTGACCCTCAGAGGTCACCAAATGGAGCCTTACACTACAACAGCTGTTTATAAAAGCAGACAGGCTGGGAGGAGACGGCTGGGGAAGCATCCATGGTAAGGAGATGAGGCCACGAACTGTAATGTAGTACAGTGCAAAGGGACAGTTCAATGGCCAGTTAGTGCCTCTTGAGTGGACTGCATGCCTTCTGCTGATCTGGCTCTTAGATGTCCATGCAGTCATTTCTGCCTGCAAGTTCTACCAGTGCATTCCTCTTTAATTAGCATTAATGTATAGCAATGTAAGGGAGCAAAAGGATATGAAGAGAGAAGGTCAGCAGTTGAGTAATCGTTGCTAGCCTAGACATGCTCTGCTGCGCTCTATATTCAGATGAAATTCGATGACTAACTAGCATGCAAGAGTAAAGAACTAAGTCATTTGTATTTTTCAGCATTGCGTGACGAGCACAACGAGGGAATATATTTTTGTTAAACTCTAGTCTCCCCCTTTTATTTTCTCTAAACCACAAACACTGTAGAAAATACAGCGTAACAAAAGAGTCAGAGCTACTCTCTCGAAGAAAGTTTTATTAACTCATTTTATCCAGGACATGCAGACTTAAAAGCTTAAAACTTGAGGAACTCCTTACCTTCCATTGTACTGTTTATACTTGCCAAGGGAAGACTCTGAAAAACACAAAACGTGGGGATCCAGAATTATCATTTGTGGTCTGACAGGATGTGACAGCGAGCCTCAAGACTGACAATGAAAGTGAAACAGGTACTGGCAATAAGCCAGAAACATTAAATACATACCTAAACATGAATAACATTATATAAAACTAATCCAAACTGTTAACCCACCCACTCAAATATAAACACTATTGCCTACAACCTTTATACACATAGAGAGGTCAGCCTGCCTTTACACTAACGTCTGACACCAGTGTTTTCATCCTCTGGTGGCAATAGCTGGAACAACAGTACACCAAAGTGGAAGGTCATTCCCACTCTGTTGGGGATGAGTCTTTTGGACAGGCAGCAGATAGAGGTCTTCATATATATCTACAGTGTGCCCAACTGTTTAGGTTCAAAACCTGTTTCCTGTGGTGTAACATTCAGCTCTCTATTTGTTTTCCCATTGATTGTTTCCTCCTCCGTCTTGATTTTTTCCCATAATCCCATGATAAACAGAGTGAATTTTTCATTCGCCTGGGAAAACACAAAACCTCTGGTTGACTCCATCTCAGGAAGGGAAATCTATGTTTGATAAAATACCCTCCGGCAGAAGTGCAGGACAGGCGGCAGACAACCTGCTTCCGCAGATTCTCCTCGTCACTGGTGTTGGACTTGAGTTTCTCTATGACACATGCCGGATCACATTCATAGTGTAACAATGTTTTTGTAGACAATAGCAGTGGGACAAATGATACTGGAGCAAAAAGTCTTCATGCAACAGCAACCATCCTGACAAGGACTTCCTCGAGTGATGGCAATAAAGACTGTTGCTTTATGCACCATCTGTGCTTTGTTGAAATCCATCCTTTTCCTGTTATGAACCAAAATTAGTTTCAGGATGAGGATAGTATCTGTCAGCATACTGCTGTATTCATCCTTCCCTCCCCCCTCCAAACAGTGTGATTTAAGAGGAATGTCCCGATTTAATGATGATGATGATGATGATGATGCATTTACACTTGCAAACATTTCAGCAGTTCCCGTAAAACTGTCACTGACATGAGTGTCAGAAACTGACCTGTCCTCTGAGCTGCACAGCGTTCTGTATTAAAGACTACAAATATCACTCAAGAGTCCTTTCTGGGCAAAGGGAGCTGTTGAGGCATCTTCCCTGTTTTTCAACACGGTTGTTCTTCTTCTTCTGGCTAAAATCTACAGCTGTTGCTATGATTGCCGAGTTGTTCCATAGTGTAGCATCCATCGGGCTGTGTCAGCCTCACTGAAACACAGCAGGATATAAGCTCTACTTGCAGAATATTCTTTAAGCACAGCATGGGAAAGTCACAGTTCAGTTCCAGTTATTGTCAAAAGTTGCTTTCAGGCCCATTGAGTGTATTTTATATTCAATGGCAGGCTGATAAAATGAATCTCGTGTCCAACGTTAACTGGCATAAGATCAGCTTCCCCTTTTCCACCCTTTTGCGTGTCGTGGCTGCTCCACATCACAAGGGTTTTTTGGCTCTGGCCTCACTTGCCTCTCTGAACGTTTTGAGGTTTTGGAGGATTTTCTAACCTTGGTCATGGGTTAAGCCTCGACATGATGAGGAAACATCTTTGGTAGCCTTTGCGGTGGAGAGCAGAGGAATGAGCTGCCCAAAAGAATCCACCAGATTCTTAAAAAGGCTTCATGAGGATCCTCACGTAGCAATTCCCTCCGTCTTATGCACTTAGAGTGTTAACTGTATGATTCATGGTGACAGGGGGTGATTAGGCTCTTGTGGAAAGGGGGACTGTTTCACATTAATAAATGTGTTCAATGTGTCATTAATCCTAAAAGCATGCTCGCTTTCTGTGCAGTCCTGAATGTTTCTTACATTTTGTTCCCTGCTGACCTTTTTCAGGGAGTTTACTTGTCCTCAATCAGAGTGTAACGTTACCATGTGTCATTATCATTTATTGGTTTCATAATGTGGGTGTTAGGACCTTTGAGACTAAGTGTGATTAAAGGCTATAGAAATAAACTAGACATGACTAGACTAAATTCATCTGTTCTTGGTTTATATACTTCTCCTCTGTGTCAATTGTATTGGAATTTTCACTTGTATGTACAACATCTGGGTTTTTGCAATTGACAGAAAGTGCTGAAATATCAAGAAGGAATTAAGAGCAGAAAATCCCTCCTCTTTTTACCATTACACACAAGCAGAAACATCCATTCTGTCTTTCCAGTAAATGAGTTTTACAGACTGTTTCTGTCTAACACAAAAAAAGCTATGCTTCATAAAATGGATTCAATATTCTGGGCTGTAGTCTGACACAAAGATTAAAATTATAGTCTTATATTTTATAGACTCTATATACAAGACTTAAACGTTGGCAATACATAAAAACTAGCAACAGCTTTGGAGGGTCAATTCATATACAGGTACATATGTGAATGTATCAAACAGGTAAAGAAAAGTCTATGGATTACATTTGATTTGATTAATAACGGCCCATCGCGTCCTTACTTTTAATCCTAATCTTAATCCACCATATAAAGAATGAATGAATGCAAATGTGTACTGTATGTTAATAGAGGAATCAAAGATCAGGACCTAACAATTACCATCATTATCAACAAACGATTCGTTTATTTTGAAAATTTCAGAAAAAAGACCAATATAAAATTATATATGTTATAAAAAATTGTACTGATTGGATTGGAAACAACATGGCAGTGCAGTGGCTTGGACTCTACAGGTGTGGTGACTTTACATGGTCTACATATGCATGTGTTATTTTCCTCCATGTTCCAAAGATAATGCATGCGAAGATCATTTGTGATCCTACATTAGCTGTAGGTGAATAGTTGCTTCTCTCAGTGTTAGCTCTGTAAAGCTGGTGTACTCCATCTCTCAACTAATGTTTGATGGGACACGCGTAAGCAAATCTTTGATCCTAGCAAGATAAAAAAAATATTGGGATGCCACGTCTCCTTTAAGCTTTATGTAACTGGTAATTGACATTTTATTTAAACATAACTTGGACCTTTCAGTGATTAAGTGCCTAAACTTTCCAGCTATTCCTGTGCCAGAGAAACCTTTCTTACTGCATCTACAAGGTTCCATAAGTAACACACCCTTGTTTGGCTACTGTAGTTGTACAAAATGCTTTCAGGTCTTGACATTTGGTGCTTTACGGTGGCGCAGTGTGCTTCAGTATTTCAGTAATCAGCTGGAGAAAGCGAGTATGGATTGAGTTGTCTGTAGTAGTTGTAGCTGAAATAAAACATTGTTTATAAGGTTCTGTTCCTACCACTGCTGGTTAAGAGTTTGTGCTGTACTCTAGGTCAAATCAGAGGACCTGTCCCTGGGCTCCTGCCATTGGGCCGCAGAGGCCCCAAGCCTCATTACTCTGCAGTCCCACACAGCTGAAATGCGTCATCTTTAACCTCCTTGCTTATTCCATCTGTCAGAGGAAGGGCAGCGTGGATAGGGAGCAAACCTAAAACATGATGGGGACCCAGCATAATTGTCAGAAGATGTTTCAGCTTTGAGGGTCAAGTGGGGGAGGAGGTAAACAGCAGGTACCCATGGCCCTCTGCCAGAAAAATCTGGAGTCCAGCCAGCTTATTCCACAATGTATTTTTCATAAGGAAAGAACAGGATGGCAGATCAAATACAAAGGTTCCCAAACCAGTTTAGGGTTATTAGATAGAAAAGCCTATTCTGAGGGCTTGGAGAAACTGATGCAGACTGGAGGTTAGGTTCGTCTTCTCCAGTGGATTGCATAAGAGTAAGGGTGGGGCATGCTTTTGTTTTCCAGCAGAGTGAAATGGAAGTTTTCTAAAGGCGGCTATAAATCACAATTAAATGCTTTCACGTCATTCCAGTATTCCAGTATAAAACAGTAATAATTAATCATTATCAGTAACCAGCGTCCCATACATACATTGTTCAGATTTCACAAAGTAATAGACGGCTATCTTAAAGCCTGCAGTAAGATTTTCTTTTCACATGCTGGTAGGGCGTTTTAGGTTATATCTCTTGTGGTTGACAATACAATAGGATTTAATTCATACTATTCACAATGGAGCCAAGACACTGAAAGGAATGAGTGTTTCACAACATGCTTGTATTTCCACCATTAAAAAGCCGACCACATTCTACAGTTTTCGGCTGAAAAACAACTTTTCATGTGTTATTCTGCAAAAAATGTTGCCATATTACATGCAGTTTTAATGCTGACTCATTGCTTCTGTTGACTAAAGATTAGGTCATCTGATTAGCACACATGTATCGTTGGATCTCCTGCTTTGATGGTATTCAGGCTGTAGTAGTAAACTGTAGTCCTCTAGGCAGTCTCCTTAATCTTTGACCATCTGACAAACTGTAATTGCTTTTACATTAATTAGTTCAGTCAAGCTGGATAACTTGACTGACTGGGTTTGCTAAATGAGGTAAAGAATGACAGTAAACTAAATGAAAGGAGTAAATATAAGTAGTCTGGCAGTTGGGTGATTCTGAAGACGCATAACAAGGGAATTTTTAAGTGGACTTATCTTGTGTTTCTTTATTTTCTCTCACATATTTTGGTACAGTGGTAGAAGCTTGCATAAATCATAACAAAGGTTTTAAATTTTAAATGGTCAAGAATACGTACAAGTAATCACTGTAAGCCAATGTCTCAGACTGCAGATGGCTTTAAATGCTCATTTTCTTTGGACAAATTTTGTCTACTCTTGTATCTGTATTATGTCACAGAGGACGTGGAGCCCTAACTCAGGGAGGCAGCCAATCAGAAGGGGGGACAGTGGACAACTCAATAAGTTAGAAATGATGCTTTACTGATCTTCTTCATGTGCCCTTTATTGCTAACCAGATTCCACGTCATCAGCGCCATGGCCACAACATTAACTCATGGCCTTCTCGTGGAGCATGAAGTCACTCTCTCCACCACTACAAAAAAGACCGGTTCTCTTTTGTACACACATGGCGAGTCAGCTTTTGACAGCGATGCTATTACAGGACTGAGAAGTACCCAGTCTCTAGGTGGTCACTGGATATAGCCAAAAGACTGAAAAACTTCATCGGAGCATGCGGTAAACATTCCACAGCAATGCCTTGAATCATCAGAGAGACTTTGAAATCACGAGTTATTCCACATGTAAGTACACAAACACACAGAGATCACACAGATTCAAACAGAAAAGTAGCATAAATAGGCATGCATAACTGCCAGATTTCAGAATAAATGCATTTTAATTGATATTATGCATACAGCTAAGCTAAGTGTTCTTGCTGGGAGATAGATGAGACTCACTGACATCGTCATGTCTGCCCTTTACATTAAATATGGTGGATCCATGTGTAGGCAGACCCATTCTCAATTTGGAGCCACATGCACTGGATCCTGCTGCTGAGATACGGCAGAAAAAGAGATTTGTTGTATGAAAGCTGACAAAAAGAATAGGTATCGTTTGTGCAACAACCAAACCAACCCTTTTCAAGCCTAAGTGCTGAAGTTTGAAAACAATCCTGTTTTTTTTGGCATTGCCGTCTAGTCAAAAAACAACAAGAAGTAAAATAGGATCAAGTGATGAGGGAGAGGTAAGGGTCGGCATAAATTTTAATTTAGATAACCACGATTTCCCCAGTATAAGTCCATTAATGCATGCATAAATGTCTCCCCAAGGACGCACACAAAAACACACAACCACTGTGTAAACTGTGCACCCTGTCCGCAAACATACACACACGACAAGTCTTGAGATAAGCTGACCGGTGGTAATTGTGGTCTCCATTACAGTAAACGCTGTTCTGTAAACCACAGTAAATTACATCCAGATGTGAGATTAAAGCTAGCTGAGTAGACAGCTGCCCTGAGCACAACCACTCCTCCTCCTCTGTTGGAGGAAGGAGAACTCCATATTTCCTGATTGCGATTGCAACTCTCCCCTGGGCTAGGACATTACAACCAGGGAGAAGTACCGCAACAACACAGAGGGGCAGTCAGCAGGTCACCACCACTGCAGGGACTCCCGTGCAGACATCTGATCTACACAGGAAGATGTGCTAAGCGTAAGACAGAGTAAGCCACGGCGGGAAGGGAGCAGTCGACTTAATGTTTGATTATACATTTGCTCTTTGCTCTGACTTGAACACAAACACATGCGTGCGGTACAGATGGCCAGTCTCAAGTATTGTTTTGGTGCGGAGGGTGATTTAAAGGAAACACCTGTGTGGCGTCACGTCCTTATGAATACAAAAGCAGAAGCTGAGGCTCACTGCCTTTAGAGGCACAGAAACACGGTGTACCGATGAAGTGATGATCTTCATCAGAACTCTGGCAATAACACATGGGTTAGGCATAATTTCCCCATATCTGTTATACAATTTAAAAAGTCACTCAAAGAATTTCAGAATTGCATTTCAGTGAGGCATATAATCCTCAACCTTTGCTATTTTTTTCCACAGCTTCATCATAACATAATCACAAAAATCTTTTTTCAGAAGTTGACCAAAATTGCGAGCTGTGCACATGTCCAAATCTTCAGGACATGAGTTATTTCACCTGGAAATGCTGCCAAATGCCATTCAGGTTTGGTTCTGTTTATGCAAGCATGAAATACAATCACTACGATCACTAAGAGATCGGCTTTGTACGGAGAGCATTCCAGTGGTTTTGATCTAACTTAGGGATAGCTGTCAAATGAGCAGGAGGCAACAGGTATTTAAAAGCAATGTATAGGCAGGTTTCACAGTAGTCCTACTACTGTAACTTCAGGTTAAAACACACACTGTACTGTACATGCAGGTCTGCCAATAATACAGTAAATAGACGACTGCTTTGTCCCAAGAAATACACTGTACAAAATAACAAGAGATTTGGCTAAAACCAATAATCTTTTCCATATACAGTACTTCCCATAAAGTAATATTAGGTTTACTGAACTCTGTTTGTAGTTCATGTGTAAAACACCTGGTGGATGGCATGGAGCTTGTACTGTATTTCATAAAAGGGTGACAAAGCGGCCACTATTGTTGAGAAGGGAAACCCAGGTGCTTCCACCCTCAGTGACAAGCCACAAAGCTTGGAAGTTTGACCTGCTCATTTCAATGGGAATCAACATCAGCAGAATACACCTACTGTTACAGTGTTGATTTATGATAAAAAAATACTATTTACATACATATTTTTATACTACGCTGTTTCCATTTTCTCCGATGACACCATGTCACCATGCTTCTAACATAACACACCAGTGTTAGTGATAAAAGTTATCACACCACTGATTTGCAGCATGGGATTACTACAAGGAATAGCGAGAGGTGGAGAGATGGGTGTAGCTAGGCTTTCGCTGCGAATCACAGCCATCTGTCTTTAGTCATCTTATCCCTTTTTATGGAACATAGCGAGATAGCAGAACACAGCCTTTAATCCAGCCAATCTTTTCCTCTTCACTGGTTCTTTATATCTCTTCTGTCTTATAACAATTACCCAAGAACACTGGGGAAAACACTCCTTCTTTTAACTTGCTGTGAACTACTGGTATATGCAGTAATGATAGACTCGCCCTCTGTATGTGACACACATTCACACACACACACACACACAGACTACACTATAAATCTCATGCAGGACGGTATTAAACAGTTGAAGTCAACTCCAGCTTCTCTGCTGTCCACAGCTGTAATTGACCACATGATTCACAGCTGTGACAGTTAGGAAAGCTAATCATTATTAAATTATTGGTCTGCGATTCCCAGACACATGTCTAGTGTCTGTATTTCCAGACATAACTTGGTGTGTGAACTTGTGAAAAGAGCTGCTGGTTTGAGTTGAATTGTATTGAAGCAGGAAAACAAAGAAAACGTTTACATTTACAAATGATCAGTAAATGCAAATAAGTTTTCAGCAACTGCAGTGATCCCGAGGTCAAATCTTCACATACTGTATGACATCTAATTGGTCAGGTTAGATGTTTGATCTGTTACATTGGCCATCAGTCTTTGGGTGCAGCAGAGGGCATCTAACCTGCTACACACTGAGGCCCCTGGATTTTGTCACTCCTGTTTTGACTAACCGGGCCATGAGCTGATTATGAGGATTAGAGGAAATGTGGTAAACTCATGCCTCTCCCACTCACTCTCAACTTAAGCAACAGCTGCAAAGTCTCTGGGTTTGGGAATCTGGTGGGACATGGAGTTTTTTCCAACCCTGAGAGCCTGGCTGAGTCAGCGAGTAGTACCTCTATGTGAGGCCTGCAGCTTTGCAAAGGGGAAGGGGGTGTTACTTGATTCAACAGGAAAGCAGCAGAGTATGAAGTGTGACACTGGCAGTGAATGGACGAGGGAATTGCCTGGTTTTGCATTAAACATAAAAGCCATCAGAGACAGCTGAAAGTCCCCAGCCACCTTGGAAGGAAATCAGAGACTGAATAGGTTCAAGGGCTGAAGCATACGGTGGCACAAGTCCGAATGTTCAATGACACATCTTCTTACAGGTATTTCTGGCACAACACAGGCCTCTGAATGACTCCTCACTCCAATTTCACCGTTTCCCCTGTTCTGACAGACTTTCATTAAGAGAATAACAGGCGACGCCAGACAACAGAACAGACCAGCTTTGTAGGCCGATTTAACTCCTGACACTGATACGGCTTCCCTGAAATTATGCTTTTAATTGAATTCCACATGCTCACACTGGTTCATCTTCATTACTGTTATTCTTGGCATAAAGCAGTTAAAGAATGCTGCCTTCTCTTCGTGTCCTTCTAAGAAAGCACAAGAAGGGAAAGCTGCAGGTGCCTGCAAGATTAACATGATCCAGTTTTACTAAATACACTTTCAGACTATAAGCAGCTCCAGGATCTGCTACATCTACTACCTGGAAAGAAACACAGCAATCTCCCATTTAGAGAACATATCACCAACATGACGACCAGAGTACTCCCCTTGATGGAAATTTATACCGAAAAAAAGATCCCACCATAGCCTACAAGAGTGGGAATATAACATAATCCATGTCTGTGAACCTAGCTTTTAAAGTATGATGCGGCTGTAATTATGAGCTTAGCAAGCTTTGCAAAGTATAACAGTGAGTCACCTTGCATCATTTGCTCCACAGAGAGAGTGATGCAGTTTGTCACGTTTCATCTTATGAATGAGGGGTGCCCGATGGCGCTCATTCAAAGCAGCATGAGAAAGAACAATAGATCATTATCACTTGACTGGCTTCTGATGACTCGAGCGTTTCATATGTAGGTTACACTTTGAACTTAAACGAGGCTATTAGCAGACCTAACAATAGGCGCTTTATTTATCATTCTATAACGAGGTGCATTATTTGCTACTTTGCTGGGTTACTGGTGGACAAAGCAGACACAAAATAAACCGAGCAGCGTGTGAAAATCTCAACCCAAAGTCTCTGTGGTTTCAGTGCAAAGTAGGAGAGGAGGGGGGAGAATGGGGGAAACAAGCAATCCCCTCATTTTGCTTCTGAGTGTAAAGTTTCACCGAAGCGTGCAACGTCCTACCTGTGCAGGTGAGAACTGCAGATAAAGCGCCACCACAGTCCCGATGACAAAACCCAGTAACATTTCGTGACGTGACGTCTGTGCGTGGAGAGTGGCGATGGCTCCCGATGGAGATAGTGGCGGAAAAAAAAAATCCAACAAAAGTCCCAAAATACTCAGAAACAGAAGCAAACAGAAAAAAACTCGCTGCCAGGGATTTTCCAAGTCATCTGCTCCCGGTTTAGTAGCGCGGAGAATGAGTGGAGTCACGTAGCTCCGCGCGTGTAACCTGATGAAGTAGATTGTGCTCACTAATGAATAAGGCCCCTCAGGAGAAAGTGGAGGCAACACAATAATACTTTAACAACAACAAAAAGAAGAAACTGATAAATATTCACATTTACACACTTTTTTTGTGTCTCGTTTTCCTTTAATATGAGCTTAAAAACGGATTCTGTGGAAATAAAAGCGTGAACGCCAGATGTGACGACGCATATTCAGTGAGCAGCCGGTTCAGTCCAAGATCTCCAAGTGAGGAATCCGCTTCAAAAAATCACGCATGAAGTTGTGCCAACAACTTTCAGTTTCCAGTCCTCCTCTGAGCTGCAGTCAGCAGAAAGACAGAGAGAAGCACTTGCGTCTAATTGCTCCGCGCCACCTTTTCACAAGACCGCTTAATCTCCTCCCCTTTTGTCTTGGTCTCTGCCCTGCTGCTGCATCTGTCTACATACAACTTACTGATGACATTTTACAGCTTCCCCTTTTAGCTGCAACATAAAAAGGTAGTTTATTTAGTTTGTGATGCTGTAGTGCAATTCTAGACTATACACCGCAGGTGATTTAAACTATAGAGCGTACACAGAAACATCCTCCGAGTGCCTGCGACATTCTGTGAGCGCAATTCAGGCTGGGTAAACATTTGGAGATCTTTTAACTGCTGACATGGATGGTAGACTCATTGCTCGTGCACGGAGATTTTCCTCTGAGTCTATTTATTCAAGTTTGCAAAGGCAGAAAAGGGAGATTCCTATTCTGTTGACACACAGGCTTACTCTTCAGTGTGGGACTTCTGTGTTTGCAGAAACACTGGAACGAGAGGATTCCTTGTGGGCTTCCACACATTCCTTCAGCAGTGCTCAATGGCCGCACTGGCTCTGCTATTGAACAGACCACACTCAGGAGTGTGGTGTCTCTAAACGTCTTAGACACTTAGACACCCCCCACCCACCAGCTACCGGCTATTCCACAGAATCAGTAAGAGCAAACTATCAAAGCTGATGAAAGACGTTTCACGCTCGTCTTTTCCTGAACTGTATCTCCAGATGGCAATGATGGATGTCTCTTGAAATTCAGGGACATGACAAGAAAAGCAAACATATTCTTCAGGGAACTTGACTCTGCAATTACTTTGTTCTCTGCTGCTTTTAAATGTGTAGTCATTGTCTTGATAGTCAGCGGGTTTTTGTTTAAAAAACAATATCGTTTTCAGACTGTCTAATTATCCAAAATATTCTGCAATATTCCAAATGCAGATGTTCAGACGCTGTTTCTCCCTCTTAAGTTGAGAAAGGGATACCTCCAATTTAGAAAAAGTTCTACGTAAGGCTATAATAACAGAGTACAAGAGATGTTCATGCCTTTTTTTTATGTTTTAGAGAAAAGCTAAGGGTCATAGCATCTCCTCCCTGCTATAGCGCAGGGACAGCATGCATTTTAACAGAAGTCAGAGCGACTCTCACCATCATCTCGCCATCTACTCAGTGATCTATCTGTGTTTTGAAAGGTGCACCAGCTGATAGAGCCTAATAAGCTCACTCAAACAGTTTGGACTATAAATACATGCTGATAAGACGAGCAAACAAGGTTTTACTGATAATGTACTCCAGTCCAGTCCAGTGGAGATGGATCTGTCTGCTGTCTGAAAGTGAAACAACTTTGAGGCTCCCGTTGCTTTTGCTGAAACCACAAAGCTTGATAGCGGTAACCACATGTCTCCTCAATTCTGAGATAAACGATGTGATTGGAGAAGATTTAATATTCATTCATTTAAAGATTTATTTTGAAGGGTGGGTGTTTTAAATTATTAATTTGATGAAATTAAGTTTTAAAACTAACTGAGATGCTGTTTTCTTCTTTCTTTGTAGTTAGACTCATGACGATCAAGGAATGAGGCTAAAATGTGAACTAAACGTCCTCTCTAACTGTGATCTAGCTGCTTGGTTGAAAGAAGGTAGGCTGTTCGAACAAATAAGCCCAAATGTCTTTTGAAATTGTGAGGACCAAATGGGTGGCTCTCAGGAACTGGAGTGCAAAAGCGAATAAGAGTTCCCTGTTGCTGTTGACCCCTCATTTTCCAAGATTGCTGAGTAAAAGTTAAACAGATGAACAACATTAATGATGTCCATTCATCATTGTTGGGGCGACTTTGGTTTCCTCCACAGTGAGGCCTTTAAGGGGAACGCTGAGAGGCAGAGAGCCCCTTACTTTGAAGGATCTCATTAGAGGCCTACAGGGAGACCAATGTTTCTGCTAAAGACAGAAGTTGGTCGCACTGTCACAGTGAATCTTGTGAATTAATTCATCACTCGGTGATCATCTTTGATTTAAATTATGTAACTTAATGTTGCTGTACATGTTGCTGAGTTCATTTCCTGAAAAAGGGCGAAGAAGAAAAGAAAAAAGCAGATGCATGAGAGCGGAGAGGACAGCTCCAACAAGAGGATTCTGTGAGATGATGTAACAGGATTTTACTCACGATGGACCACCTGGACGGCAGACCCAAACAGGATATGGTAATATTTGACACTTAAGCTCCCTCTTCCTGTCATTAAATTAGCTGTGACGAACTACGGCTATTTTTTTGCCTGCAACAACTGTATTATTGTAAAGTACGTTTGAACAAAGTGGAAAATAGGAAGTGCTTCAGCTATGAGTAAAAAGCTGCTTACCTTCCCCTAAGGTGATTACTGTTATATCACAACACACTCTTTCATTTCAAACATGTCAAATCCTGTTTACACATCTACGCTACACTGACATATTTGTGTCTCAGGCACGGTCCAAGTTTGTCAGGTGCTTTCCTGTTTTCTTCTCCTGTCTGTTCATGTGTGAGCATTGTTTGATTTTTAGGAAGTCAGTCAACATGTTAACAGACAAATGGGAATTATTTTGGTCTGTATGTCTCATGAACCAGTCACTGCAAAAATCTCCACTAGATGCTGTTTAACTTTATACAGCTGTGTCTTGGACATCACAATGTCAGTTGGCTGTGGCAACCGCAGGCTAAATGAGGATTTAATTCTTGATGTCAGACGGAAATGTGACTCCATTTGTTCTCACTGATTTATTTTTGGGGCCATTATAGTCAAACATCCAGCATTCAATCAGTCATGAACACAAGCTTTCATTGGCTGCAACGGTCGTACCAAAAGAGTTGAAAGAATTTAAATGTTTGGAACCGTACTTATTTCTTATGGCTTTCTTTTTTAAAATATAAATATAAATAACACTGCTGATAACACTCTTAGGTCTGTGAGTTGAGTAGACGCTTCAAGTCAATGTGAAGCTAGGAACCGAATAGCCTAAGTAGCAAAAAGTCTTCTGTGGGAATCAAAAAGGAACGAATAAGTGACAATTAGTGGTTTTGCAGGAAGTCCCGTGCTGGATAATCATGGTGGATGGGTAAACATGTTGGTTTACAACTTGGGACAGCTCTTAACTTCCTACAGGAGCCCTGCTCAAAAATGAGCATAGCCTTTGTTCAGGCAGGCCACAAAGCCATGCTCAATCCCAGCTGATGTCACTGCCAATACAAATCCGCTGATGGCTCAGCCGATGTGTTACGAAGCATCCAAATGGCAAATCTCACACAAGGCTTTAGTCTGTCTGTCACAGCTAGTTTACAACTCACCAACATCAAAGTCCTTCTTTTCATACCGTGTCTGACTTAATCAGTCCATTGTCAGTGATGCCCGTACACAAGGTTTTGCTGGTACCCTCCCTGCCTCCAGCTCTCTGAAGAAGCAATGCCCATGCTTTAAAAAATGAATCCAACACATAAATGCTAAAACCTGCAGTTCCTCCACTGGCCACTTGAGGATGGAGTCAAAAGCCAGTCAGTATTCCCAGACATCATCCATCCTCTTCTGCTTATCTGATTCAGGGTCACAGGGAGGGCTGAGTCTATCTCCACTATCACAGGGCAAGAGGCAGGGTAGACTCCAGACAGGTTGCCAATCTGTCGCAGGGCTAACATATAGAGACAGACCATCATTCACACATATGGCTAGTTTAAAATCACCATTTAACCTAACCCCATGCATGTCTTTGGGAGGAAGCTGGAATTCCAGAAGCAAACCCACACAGACTCACTCTTCTTAACTTCTTGCTGTTAAGCAACAGTGCTAACCGCTGCATCACTGGGGGCTAGTCACTGCATTACCATCAGAGGGTAGAGTGGGTTGTCTGCCAAGTGGAAGGCTGGCCGATTGATTCCCTGCCTGTCCAGTATGAACAAGATACTGAACCCCAAGTTGAGTGTGAATCTATGCACAAACGTTAGGCAAGGTATAGAAAAGCTTAGGTATAGGAGGAAAAAGTGCATGTGTGAATGGCTTGCACTAAAGAGTGCTCATTTAAAGTGGAAAAATACTAAGTGCCAGTCCATTCACCACTTTGACACCCACCAAATATCCAACTTCAGCTGCAAAATGATCATGTTTGCAGCCTGGCATAAAAGATGATTTTAGCCTGAATAGCTATTTCCACTTGAGAGTTAAAAGGCACCCATTTCGATTTTGTTGAGGCTTTAAGTTAGTTATATAATCTCTAAGACTGACAGGTGTGCAAAAAGTAGCTACGACTGCCTCATAGGCTTCATTTTTGTTACTTTAACTTGCTGAATTGGACCAATATACCATGTCAGTGAGGTTATGGTGAGAGAAATTCTAGTATTTTATTAGTCAGTTACTTAGCGCTAAATAGTAATCTGTGTTTGTGTGCTGCACCCTTAAACTTTTAGGATGCATTTTGCTAAACAAGTTATCTGTTGTTTACTGATAAATTGACATGTTACTATCTTGTCCTATTAAAAAATAAATAAAAATAAAAATATCACCATGCTAAAATGCATTTTTTACATCACCAAGAGGTGATTTCACAATGGCTATTTCCATCATCTTAATACAGTCTATGGGCTTTCTGTGTATACCTGTTTTAAGGGAGGGGAGGTCCTAGGGCAGAGCTGTGCTGCCAGATACAGTATAGGTTACTGCAGAAAAAACCCTTATAATTCATTAATTTATTATTATTATTGTTTTTACATATAATATAAAGACTAGCTCATATTCAACAACTTCCACTGAGAGACAGGCGCACAGCCACAGCAGCACTCTGAAAGGAAAGCAAAGTGTTTGTCTAAGATAAAATTTCATCACCTCCAGCAGCTGGAGGCAAAAAGGGCCTTGTGTAATACAGAAAGAAAAAAACAACAACACTGTGATTGAGTTATCTCGGCTTCTGTCATTGCCAGCTGTAAAAGCTGTAAGCATTATAAATGAAGAACACGCAGTGCAAACTGCGCGGAAGTGGTCCCGCAGTCAGAGAGCAGGTTATAATTCAGGCTCGCAGTCATACTCTAAACTCCATTAAGAGGTCCCACATGTGGAGC